GCTTGCTCGGTTGCTCGCTTGCTCGCTTTCTATCTTGCTTTCTTTCTGTTGGTCCTGGAGCCTGAACACTGGGCCTGGACACTGTTCTTCAGCTCAAGGTGAGTGCTCTACCACTTGAGTCACAGTGCCACTTCCAGCTTTTTCTGCTTATGTGGTACTGAGGAATCAAACCTAGGGTTTCATGCATGCAAGGCAAGCACTCTACCACTGAGCCACCTTCCCAGCCCTCCCTCCCTCTCTCTTTCTCCTTCCTTCCCTTCCTTCCTTCCTTCCTTCCTTCCTTCCTTCCCTCCCTCCCTCCCTCCCTCCCTCCTTCCTTCCTTCCTTCCTTCCTACCTTCCTTCCTTCCTTCCTTCCTTGGATTGAACCCAGGACCTTGCATTTGCCAGGTAAGCACTCTAGCACATGAGCCATGCCCTCAGCCCTTTTGTTTTTTTATTTTGTCTTGGAGACACAGTCTTATGCTGTGTTTTCTTGGGCTGGCCTTGAACTCTTGATCCTTCAGTCTCTACCTCCTGACTAGCTGGAATTATAGGTATGAACCACCCAGCTGCCATTTGCTTCTTTAAGGCCTCAGTGTCTCTGTAACTTACAGGCCAGGAGGGTAGATCAATTGGCCTTTAGGGAACCTCTCTACTCTACTGCCCTTACATTTATTCACTTAATATATATGTAAGCCAGGCACTTGTGGCTCATACCTATTATCCTAGCTACTCAGGAGGCTGAGATCACCATCAAAGCCAGCCCAGCAAGGAAAGACCGTGAGACTTGTATCTAGAATTAACCATCAAAAAACCAGAAATGGAGCTGCAGTGACACTGCAGAGGGACAGCCAAGAGTAGCAAGATGCTGGATCTGGGACCTTAGGCACTCTGATGGGCTGTACCACTTCCAGCACTCACCCCTGGCCCTTGAACAAATTTGGATGTGCATCCCCCTGTATAATTAATATTCAGGCCAGGTGCTGGTGCCCCCCCCTCCCTGTAATCCTAGCTACTCAGGAAGCTGAGCTCTGAGGATCATGGTTCAAAGCCAGCCCAGGCAGGAAAGTCTGTGAGACTCTTCTCCAATTAACCACCAGAAAACTGGTGTTGTGGCTCAAATGGTAGAGCTCAGGGACAGCACCCAGGCCCAGAGTTCAGGCCCCATGAACAACCAAAAAAAAATTAGTATTCAGAACAGGAGAGCTAGTAAAATAATAGCTACCAGTATAGACCATTTAAGAACTGAAAGCCAGTGCCCATCATACTAGGTGCTACGCTCTGCTGGATGTTGCAAATGATAAGGACACTAGCTGCTGTCCATCCCATGCTTCCTTTGAGTCAAGCCCTGTATATGCATTTTCTCACATCTAAAATTTTCTGGGACATTGGATTCATTCCCATTTCACAGAGGGGGAAACTGAGGCTCAGAGAGGTGAGGAGTTTCCCAAGGTCATGCAGACAGGAATGGCGCAGCTTTGCCTGTGACCCTCAGTGCCCAAGTCCCAGACCTACCCACTCCTGGCGAGGCGTTGGGTGGCTCCACACAGGCCCCTCATGTTCCCTGGAGAGGGGTCCTCTGGTGGCTGGCCTCTGGCAGCAGGGCAGGTGGAATGGAAGCGGGCAATCGCTGACCCTCTGGAAGTCCCGTGGCTTCTGCTTTCCCACTCTTTGATTGAGTGCTCCTAGCAGCCTGGCTCCGCCTGCTTGAGGCCCACCTCCCTGGAAGTGGGAAGAGCTGCCTCATGCCCTCCAGGGAGGGGTGGGAGGAGGGCAAGCCGGTCTTCAGCCTTCTGTGATCTGGACCCCTCCGGAAGGTGTTCCCAGGAGAGTGAGGCTAAGAGCTTCCCTCTGCTCACCTTTCTCTCCCTTCGGTAGTTCTGTACCCAAGGGGAGCACAAAGATCCCTGACTTCAGGCAGGGGTAGGGTAGGCCAAGAACCCATAGAAGACATTGAGACCCTTGCTGAAACCGAGGTGAGTGACTGCCTGGGCACTGCATTGTAGAGGCAAAATTCACAGCCCTGTGATTACCTCAGAATGCACTGCAAACAGTAGGTGCTCAATACATGTAAAGTTCTTGCCCTGCACATTTCCTTCCAGGCTGTTCCAGAGCCCATCCTACCTGGAATGGAGAGACGTCCCTCAACACCTCGGTCCTCCAGTGTCCTGGGGGGGGCCTCTGACCCCCAGGGGCCTCTCCTGAGCCCCCCCTATTCTCCACACACAAAGTATGGGCCTTCAGGGGTGGGGGGAACAGCCAGGGCATTCCATCTGCCCATCCCCTTGGACTGAAGAAATGCCCGTGGCTAGACCCTGAGTCCCCGCAGAAGGCCCAGGGCCTGTGCACAGCCCCAAGGACCAGGCACACAGATGCAAAGCCATTAGTGGCACAGGAATGCCCAGTGCAGGTGTAGCGGCACAGAGGAGGCCCGGCCCATGCTGGCTGTCTTCAGGGGTGTGCGGGCCCCAGTCAGGGGAGGTACCAACTTACAACCTCTGCAGATCTGGAGTGGGCCTGCTGTCTTAGTGTCTAGTGGGAGGGGGGCATCTAGCCTCAATCACAGCACCCCTCCACACACACACACTTGAACCCAAATGTTAGCTTTGCTAATCGCCATGCTGTGTGACCTTGAACAAGACACTGTCTCTCTCTGAACTCAGGCTGCCTCTGCTGTAGGCTTTGTGGGAGAGGTCAGTGAGGGACTGAAGAGTGCTCCCTCCTGCCTAGGCTGCCAGCTGTGCCCGAGTGAGCCCAGACTTTGCTGTCCTCCTCCTACCTCATCACCCAGGACACGGCTGGGCACTAAGCTGGTCAGAAGAATCAGCCCAGAAGAGGAGGCTGGCATTTGAGCAGTTCTTCTGAGCGCCAGGGAGCCAGCCAGCTGGGGTTTATGTGGGACAATCCCAGGCACAGGTGGATACCACCTCTGTCCATTCAGGCTGGCCTGACCTCAAAGCCCACACATCCGGAGGGACTGTGAAGTGCCGGAATTAGAACCAGCTTGGCGGAAGGAGGGGAATTTCAGGGTGTGAGACTCAGAGCCATGAGACAGAGAGGAAGCACACGGGCTCAGTCAGAAGTCAGGGGCCTCTGAGTACAGGAGTCACCGTGGGTGGGGAGTGTGACCTTGAAGCCCATCTGAGAAGCTGCTGGAAGCTTCCAAGCAGCCAGCGCTGCCTGAGAGACAGGATAATGAGAGCCACTGGTGGGAGCCATGTGAAGTTCATTTGCTAATCATAGCATGAAAAACCCAAATCCACTTCAAATATTTTATCCAATCGAGTGTATCGGAAACCTTAATCTTTCACCATGTGAATGATAGACAGTCATGGGTACATTCATTTTGGTTTTTTTTTCCAGCTTTGTTTTTTTTCAACTCAGGCAGATATGCCTGCCATACTCACTTCTGGCCGGCCAGGTCCCTTGTGCGCAGCAGCACACAGAGCGGGTGTCAGATGGAGAGATGGGGCCATGTTCCCCATTACAGTAAAAGCAGTCCCAGGCCACCAGAAGTAGGGACTAGGTAGAGCCAAGTGCACCATCCACCAGATCGTGTAGCATAGGTGTCACAGGTTCAAATGCCTGTGCAGGGCGGGGAGAGGGCTGAGGGAAGAGAGCCTGCTAAGCGATCAGAAGTGACCAGTGGGCTTACGCTCAGCTGCAGTCGTGGCTAAGTGTCAGAACTCTGTTATTGGATCCCTTCATGGCTTTTCCAAGAGGAGATAAATCCTATCAGGTGCATTTCCTGAATTTAAAGATTGGCAACCATTCAGATGTAAAACTCTCCGGGAGCAGGGCACACAAAATCCTGATGGGGCTGGAGTGGGGCCAGCTCCGATGTCCTCTGAACATCACCCATTGCCCCCCCCACTCCCGTGCACTGGGTTTGCCCAGCTGGCTCCTCCTTCCGGCTCCCTGGCCTCTCCCTGCCCTGGGCCAGGAGCCCTGGCTTCTGCAGTGTGACACAGATTTTAGGCATTCAGTTGGTCAACCGTGGTACACAGATTTCTGATCCAACGTTATTCTGGATGTTTGGTGGGTCTCATCCAATCAGTGGAAGGCCTGAATGGAGCAAAAGACTGACCTTGTCTGAGTCAGGGAGTTCTCCGGAAGCTCGCCTTCAGGTTCTAGCTGCAGGGCCAGTGAGAGGAGGGTCAGTTAGGAGGCTGGGCCTGTGCTGGGCGTCCACAACAGGCGAGTCCAGACTCCACCGACCCAGGCTGGGGACAGCCACCCTCACTGCGCCGCCCAGGGCTGCTCATCCCCAGTGCTGCCCAGCTCAGCAGGGCAGTGGACGCCACTGCAAGAGCCTTAACACAGGGCCCCCCGCCCCTCTCCCCGCCTCCCCCCCCCATGTCAGGAGCGCCAGCAGACCCCCTCAGATCCCAGTCCCACGCCGGCTCCTCAGAGGCGTCCTTCGGCCACCCTGGCCTCTGAGTCACTCCCTTACATTATCCAGTTTCATTTCTTCTTCCCCAGAGCTGTGACTCAGTCCTGTGATGGAGGCGTCCACCTGCCCACGGCCACCACGGCCGCTATGTGAAGTTGCATGTGGGCGAGGACAGTGGGCCGGCATTCAGTGAGTGCTAAACACTCACACGTGAAAAAGACTGGCACAGATCCCAGGTCACTGTGCCGGGGTAATTTGCCCCGCTGCTGGAGCCAAACAAAGTTTGTGCTTTTCTAAGTTTATGTGGTGGGAGAAAAACTAATAAACAAGGAAATGCGTGATTCAGTGTCCAATGTGCTAAGAAGGAAAACTGAGGGTGAAGAGTAGTGGAGGTTACATTTAAGACGAGATGGTCAGGGAAGCCTCTCCCTGGAGGTGACATCTGAGCTGGAACCTGAATAAAGTGATGGTGACAGCCAGGCATGGTATTAGGAGCAGAGTTTTAGGTACCGAGAAGAGCACGTGCAAAGGCCCTGAGGCGGTAGAGAGGTAAAGGCAGGAACTTTTACCAGGGATTTGGGACTTTGAAACTCTCTTTTGTTCAGAAAGGCAACAATTCTCCACTCTGGTGTTGATCAACATTCTTTATTTTATAACAGTTTTGATCAGAAGTGTTTGAAATCATGACCAGACATTGCCCAGTCTGTGGCTTTTCTATTTGAGGACATCACCCGTCCCCCTGCGGATATCATTGACTGTGGGATTTAATACTGACTGGTGGGATTAATGTAGGGCCTGTGGCAGAGCTTGGCCTTCAGCTCAGGGGTTCCCGCCCTCCTTCCTCTGCTACTCTTAGGGAAACACTGAATCACCTGTGCCTTCCCAAGGTGGGGAGGGGAAATGTGAGGCTCAGCCCCTGGCTGGTGCCAGCCATCCCTCTTACACCCCTCCCGCCTGCTCCCTCTGCCCTTGGCTAATTAAGCACATTTACCCCTGGGGCTCAGGTGGAAAGGTAGAGACCAGCAGAAGCTCCTAAGGCCTCATGCCAAGGGGTCCTGGCTGGAGGGGAATATGGGTCACCTGCCAGTGGCTGGAACCCAGGCGTAGCTAGATGCCAGAATTATTATTGACATGATTCTAAATTGAATCAGAGAGAAGATACTGCACCCTCTTTGACCCTGCTGTGCCTGGGAGCCCCGAGAGACATAAGGAGGCTCTGCACATCTCCTGTCTCGTGGGGACCCATGGGGGCCACGGCCAAACAGGAGAACAAAAGCCACCTAGGTGGTGAGCAGCTCAGTGTCTGGGCCACAGCTTTGCAGCAGCAGAGACTCTGCAGCTTGTCTTAGAGACAAGACGGCCTCTCTGGAGACCTAAAGGGATCAGTGGGTCAGAAAATGAGCTGGGCCTTGAGGACTGACAGCCTCCCATCCCAAATGCAGGTTTGATCAGTGTGGCTGAGCTGCGCTCCTACATCCTAACCACAGACTAGCTCGTAAAGGCAGAGCCTGTGTCTCAGGCAGCAGAGCTGGGAGATAATCTGAGCCTCAGACTGCATGAGAGAGAGAGAAGGTACACAGGTGAGGAGCCTGTGGGCCTGGGTGGACCCCTGGAGGTCAGCCTGGCCTGCTGCACATCCGATTCCAGAAAAGAATGGCTTGATCATCGTGTGTGGTCCAGGCAGCAAGGGATGGCGATGGCCCTCTGGGAGGGCCAGGCCCAAGGGGGCCCCTGGGTGCATTCAGAGTGTCCGAACGGTGTCATTGGCTAGGGTGGGGGGCGGTGCTGTGATGTTAGCCTCGTGGGTGTGGACCCAGTCCGGGAAGGTGCCCAGCTGGAAGATGCTCTGCGCCCAGGTGTTTATGGCCAGGCTGAGCAGCAGAACGCCCATCAGATTCATCAGGAGGCCTGTCCGCACCTGCAAGGAGCCAGGACTGAGGGAGGGGTCTCCTACAAAGATGGGAAACCCTGGCTGCTCAGGGAAGGAAGATGCTATTGACAGACAGCACTGCCGGGGGAGAAGGGGTGGGGCCTTCCATCATATACCACCTGAGGCTGGGCGTCGGAGAGCCACTGTGTCCCCACACACTGCGTGGTTTGGACCCCCACAACCGCAGGTGCCATCACACACTACTGAACACTCAGGAGCTTCCCCTGAGTCCCTGCTCACAAAAGAGGAAACTGAGGCCCAGGGAAGCTGGCTTACCTAGGTCCCAGCACGTGAACGTCCAATTTGATCATTCATACCCTTATCCAGTGCCTGCCACATGCACAGACATGTAACCTGCGTGCATGCGCTCATCCATCCAGACACGTGCAAATGCACACACACTCCCACATGCACAGACATGTAACCTGTGTGCATGTGCTCATCCATCCACACGTGTGCACATGCACACTCACTCCCACATGCAGACATGTAACTTGCGTACATGTGCTCATCCATCCACACGTGTGCACACACACTCCTACATGCACAGACATGTAACTTGCGTACATGTGCTCATCCATCCACACGTGTGCACATGCACACACTCCCACATGCAGACATGTAACCTGCACACATGTGCTCATCATACACACATGTGCACATGCACGCACACTCCCACACACATAGGTATGTAACCTATGTACGTGTGCTCATTCATCCACGTGTGCACATGCACACACTCCCACATGCACAGACATGTAACCTGCATGCATGTGCTCATCCATCCACACACATGCAAATGCACACACTCCCACATGCACAGGCATGTAACCTGCATGCATGTGCTCATCCATCCACACATGTGCAATGCACACTTACTCCCACATGCAGACATGTAACCTGCATGCATGTGCTCATCCACCCACACACATGCACAACACACTTCCACATGCAGACTTGTAACCTGCATACATGTGCTCATCATCCACACACATGCAAATGCACACACACTCCCACATGCACACACATGTAACCTGTGTACATGTGCTCAACCATCCACACACATGCACGTGCACAACACACTTCCACATGCTGGCATGTAACCTGCATACATGTACTAGTCATCCACACACGTGCACATGCACACACACTCCCACATGCACAGACATGTAACCTGCATGCATGTGCTCATCCACACACGTGCATGTGCTCATCCATCCACACTCATGCACACACACACTTCCACGTGCAGACATGTAACCTGCATACATGTACTCATCATCCACACATGTGCACCTGCACACACTCCCACATGCACAGACATGTAACCTGCGTGCATGTGCTCATCCATCCACACACGTGCATGTGCTCATTCATCCACATGCGTGCACGTGCTTATTCATCCACACGCGTGCACACACATACTCCCACATGCACAGGCCTAGGTAAGGCTGCATTTGTCTGTTGTGAATTTCTCTTTAACTAGCTGGAAAGCATTTGGCCATTTGCCTGTCCCACAGCCCTCGAATGGCTCAGACCACTTAGGCCTGAAAATCCTGAGTTCTGACCCCGCGCTCACTGCTCCCCACCGTGGGTGTGTGGGAAGCAAGTCCCTTTGGCCTTCCTCTGCCTTCCCCAAGGCCAACAAGTACTCAGGGGCTCAGTGTCCCTCCAGGCTCCCCCCCAGGGAGGATCCAATTCCACAATTTTCCCTACTTTGTACTTGTTTTCACACTGGAGCCAGGCTTCTGGTCTCACAGGACTTTAATTAGCAACTAAATCATAACTCCTGGGAGCAAGTCTTGCCAGGAGCCACAGACAGGCTGCTTGGGGGGCCTCATGGAAGCCCTCTGCACCTCGCAGTCCCACCACTGGGGTCTTTCCATGCCTATCTGACTCTGCTCTACAAATCTGTGCTGGTTAGCAGCTCTCCTTGCTCATCAACATCCCCTCAACAGCCTCTTGGTGTCTGTACCCCAACCTCCATGCCCCCAGAACATGCCTTACTGGAGCCAGAGACACCCTGTAAAGAGGGCGTAAAGTCTCTGTGAGGTCCCCCACTGGGTCCAAACACTGCCTCACCTCTGCATTCTGCACTGTCCCACCCCACATGCACCCCCTAGGCTCCACCCCAGCCCTGACAGCCTCCTGACCCTTCCCCACTTCTGGGTCTTTGCATGTGCTGAGCCTGCTGCTGGCACTGCCTTTCCCTCCAGTCCTTGTCAGGATTAGGACTCAGCTCAGTGATCTCCTTCTCAGAGAGGCTGCTCCTGCCCACCCCCTCACCCTGTGTATAATTTCTTTTCTTACCCTTAGCAATAATGAAATTCACATCATTTTTAAACTGTGCTGACTTGAATACTGCCTCCACTCACAACAGCACCCCCAGCGAGGGAGGCCTCTGGTCTTCTCACGGCTGCCCCCAGAGGCTGGAATGTAGAATGCAGCCTGCGAGCCCACACAAGGATGAGCCTGGATGAGCCAGAGAGGGCTCTGCTGCTGGGCCATCTCTCTGTGACTCTCTGACACTCTTGCTCTAGCTCTCTTCTTTCTCCATTATCTTACTGGGGTCTCATGCCTAGCAAAGCAGGGGAGAGGGAAGAGGCCGCAGGAGGAGGGAGGACTCAGTTTGGCAGGGAGCTGCATTTGGGGAGAGGGAACAGACTGTCAACGGCTGAGGTGTGCTAAAACCCCGCACCAGGCCCCCACTGACACAGTCCTTGGCTTCTGACTGTCCTCCTCGCCAGCGGGCCAGGCCTGGGAGCCCACTCCTAAGTCCCAGTGTATTTGCTGCCCTTCTAAAAGATTCTGGGCCAGAGGCAGGGGCCAAACAGGCAGGGGGAACAACAGTGTCCAGAGAGGGCTGGGTTCTTGTTCCTGGGGCAAGGTCTCGAACAGGTAGCATTTCCCAAGCCTGTCTAAGCCTGAAAGCCATCACAGAGTTTGGGGTCAGGTGAGGGGGGGTGTACTTGCCTGGTGCACCACCCCCCTTGCAGGTCACGGCTAGAAATGCCCACACTCACCATGTCTTTGACCAGCAAGTGTCCCGAGGCGAAGGCGATGGAGTTGGGGGGAGTGGAGACGGGCAGCATGAAGGCGTAGGAGCAACCGACTGTGCCCGGGATCATCAGGTACAGCGGGTGCACTCGCAGGCGGATGGCCTAGGCCGGGAGACATGCAGGCAGGCAGGCAGGCAGGCAGGCAGGCAGACACAGAGTGATCACAGCAAGAGGGATTGGTAGTAGAGAGTGACAAAGACTTAGAGATGAGCAGAATGATAGATGACAACAGAGACACACGGGGAGAGTTAAAGAGACAGGCACATGGCCCAAAGTTCAGATGCACAGGTGGAGAGATAAGCAGGAGAGGGAGGAGACGGAGAGGCATTTCCAAGGTCAGTGACACTGTGGTTTTATCAAGGAGCGGATGGGGAGAGTTATCTAGAACTTTTCTCTTCACATGAGCAGGGTAGAAAACCTAGACGCCCAGAGGAACTGGTCTGGCAGGTGCATGCAGGACCTGCCAGTTCCCAGGCAATGCTGTTGTTGCTCCAGCGACCCAGGCCAAGGACCAGGGTTCTAGCATGACAGCTCTGGGCCAAACCAGATGAGCAGCTTTTGTTGAGGCCTGGTGGGGTTGCAGCAATGCCAGGTGTGTAATCTGTCTGGCATTGCCCTGGTTCTACAACCGTGGGTCCAGTGCGGGCTGGCCATGGGCACTGGGCCACTCATTTGTCACCCTGCTCCGGTGACACAGTTCAGCCACGAGTCATGCTGATTACCACTCAGGCATTTTACTCCAGACAGGGCATTTGAGCTCCCAGGGAATTTTCTCTTCAAACACTGAAGCCATCTCCAGTGTCAACATTTTGATTATGATGAGAAGCACAATCTAAGAGAATGTGTCCTTCATGAGTTGCCCTTTATAGAGCTGGTGGGGCTCTGGGCTCCTCTGTCTTCTCCTTACCACCACATCACACCCTGTTTCTCTGAGCCTGGAGAGGGTCTGGTGAGAAGGGCCCTATAGCTGGAACTAGCTGGGGATGGGGTGGGGTTAAATCTAGCATCATTTGCTATCTGTTGCTCTAGCTGGAATCAGGCATGCCTAGGAAGGCAAGGGACAGGTGATGGAGCAGCCTGTGAATACCGAAAGGCCCAGGGGGCAACTCCTAACCAACCCACCCTTCGCAATGGAGATTTACGGTGAGAAAGACCTGCAGTGCATCACCTATGGATGCAGCATGACCTGGGCTGCAGATCCACACATAAACCAGCTGCCAAGGCCTGGAGCCACCCAGACTCCAACACTGCTTTAATTTAATCAGCTCTGGATCATTAGGTAGTTAAATCGAAAGGTGTGTGAGTATGAGTGTGTGTGCTGGTTCTAGGGCTTGAATTCAGGGCCTCACACTCTTGCTTGGCTTTTTCTACCCAAGGCTGGGACTCTACCGCTTAAGCCAGAGCTCTGCTTCTAGCTTCTTGTTGGTTAATTGGAGATAGGAGTCTCATGGGCATTTTTGCTGGGCTTATGGACTTTTATGCCCAAGATAGTTTTTTGTTTTGTTTTGTTTTTGTTGGTCGTGGGGCTAGAACTCTGGGCCTGGGTGCTGTCCCTCAGCTATTCAGCTCAAGGCTAGTGCTCTATCACTTGAGCCATAGCACCACTTCTGGTTTTCTGAGTGGTTTATTCAAGATAAGAGTCTCATGGACTTTGCTGCCTGGGCTGGCTTTGAATCGCGATCCTCAGATCTCAGCCTTCTGAGTAGCTAGGATGACAGGCGTGAGCCACCAGTGCCCAGCTTCCAGCATAGTTCTTAAGTCTCATAATCCTGATTCCAATATGCTCAGATCTTAGCCTCCTGAATGTATGAGCTCCCAGTGCTAGCCAGAGCCCCATAGTTGTTGTTGTTGTTTTTAATTTATGCTATAGTAACTTATTGCTCTTTGCATACAGTCCTGGATGCTTCCTCTTTCTACAGGACCGCACCTTGGTTTCCCTGTGGGGTGGATTGTAGTGATGCTGTGCTCTCCTCATCTGGTGCTGGTGCCAGGGCTTGGCTGACTTCATATGGGGAATGCTTGGCTGTCTCTGTCTTCCTGTGCTCAAGGATTTCTAGCTTCCACCTAGTAAGTGGTGGGTTTTTTGCGGGGGGCGGGGGGGCAATCTTGGATAAATCATCCTAACTCCTCAGCTCATCTATGGCTGGTGATTTGTAGAACAGAAATTAACCCGGTGTGATTCATGCCCCAGAAGGCACTTGGCAACATCTGGAGTTATTTGTGATCCCATGATTTAGAGAGAGCTACTGGCCTCGGGAGGGGGATAAGAAGCTAGAGGAGCTGCCGGGCACCCTAAGTGCACAGGACAGAGCCCCCCCCTTCCCACATGGTGCCCATATCCCCCAAGCCAGGGTCAGCCTGCCTGGCACCCCATGCTCTCGTGCAGCTATGTCGACTGAGACTTCCGCTTCACCCCAACATGGAACATCCGTTTTCTTAGAAATCTCTTGCTAGCCCTGGGTCCAGTGTCCCCAGTGAGGCAATCTGTGGTCCTTGAATAGTATTTGCTTTGTGTATGCATTTCTTGAAGGAGAAGCAAGCTAAGCTGGAAGAAACCACACCATGGTTCTGCGGCACTTATTTTAGAAAGGAGCCAGGGCAGCCGAGGCCCCAAAGGAAGCTCAGCACAGAGGGGAGATTGCGACCTCGACTCTGACTAGGGGGAAACCACCCCCTCCCCCAGCCCCAGAAGAACCCTCACCAGCTCTGCCAGGATGGGCAGGAAGATGATGATGGTAGCCGTGTTGCTGGCGAACTCGGTGAAGAAGGAGATGACGACGGTGATGAGCAGGACGGCCAGCGTGGGGGGCACGTGCTCCAGCGGGTGCAGCTGCCCTCCGATCCACGCCGACAGCCCCGACTCCTGCGGGCAGGGGGGGCCTTTACTCCCACTCAGCTGCCCTCCCCAGGTGGGGAGACCCAGCCAGCAGCCCCGTGGCCGCTTCAGCCCCACTCCATGCTCCCCACTCCAGGTGCAGACTCCCGAGCATGGATCTGGTTAGAGGTAGAAAGTCCACCTCCACTCAGTTCCATAGCCCATGAATTACAATTCAGTGGGAGAGGGGGGTCGGACCCTTCACAGGAAATCCCTTCATTCCTGTGAGGAGGACTATGAAGTAGTAGTACACCAAATAGTCAGTGGCTCACACCTGCAATCCTAGCTACTCAAGAGGCTGAGATCTAGAGGATTGTAATTTGAAGCCAGCCCAGTGAAGAAGTCTATGAGACTTCATCTCCAAAATAACCAGCAGAAAAGCTGGGCTGGAGGCAGGGATCAAGTGGTAGATCGCCAGCCAAGAGCAAGAAAGCAAAGCAAGTGCAAGGTTCTCAGTTCAAACCCCACTGCTGACAAAAATAAGACAAAAAACATGAACCCGGTATTTATCAAATGCAACACAGTCACTATAGCAGTAATAAAGGTATTTATACTTGGAAGTGACACTGTGGCCCAAGTGGTAGAGCACTAGCCTTGAACACAAAGAGGCTCAGGGACAGCACCCTTCATATTCAATCATAAGAACTCTTGTCATGATTGATAATAACATAATATCGACATGAATGGCCGTGACGGAGGTTTTGTGGGCCCAGGCATCTGCTTTCATGACCTGCTGCGACTTACTCCTGTCCCCCAAAGCAAACATAGCCCACATGTGCCTGCAAAACTCCACACTGCTCCTATTTGTTGGTCTGGAACTTCTCTTGCCCAAGAGTGATGCCCAGAGCGACCACTGTCCTCCAGGGCAGGGCACAGTGTCCAGACCCTACTCTCTCCAGTGCTGTAGAATCATGGGGGGCGCTCACCCCGCTGGCTTCTCCAGAAATCACACTACTTCACTCCCTGATTTTGCTACCAAAAGTATGCATTCAACAAGCAGAGAAAAGCCTGGACTCAGCCATACTCAATGCTGCCCCCTGGTGGCACTCAGCAATGAGGCAGCTGAGCGTGTTGCTGAACAACACTGACAGAGCTGTAGGTTTAGGAGCCAGTCCCGGCAGAGTGGAATGAGTGAAATGGTAGTAGTCTGCCTTAGTCCTTGTGTCAATCCAGTGTCCCTGATCCAATGCACATTGTCTGCCAACAAAACTTCACAGGTTTTCTTCATAGTTAGTAGAGAATTGACTGCTTATTCACAACTTGATTTCATTGTGGATTTTAGACTACACATACAGATTCTGCCTAATTCTACAGCTGGGAATGTGGCTTAGTGGTAGAGTGCTTGCCTAGCATGCACGAAGCCCTAAGTTCGATCCCTTAGCACCACATAAACAGAAAAAGCTGGAAGTGGTGCTGTGGATCAAATCAGGCCCTGAGTTCAAGCCTCAGAACTGACAATAAAGAAAGAAAAAGAAAAGAAAGAAAGAAAGAAAGAAAGAAAGAAAGAAAGAAAGAAAGAGAAAGAAAGAAAGCATTTGCCTTACAACTTGGCTTAAAAGTTACTTTCAATGGGCAAGTTAGAAATGCTTAAAACATTTCACTCTAGTTTCCTTTTATAAATTTAAGGGGCTGCAGGAATTCCCTGAGGACTTGTCACAGCCCCCTCTCCTGGCTCAGAGAGATACTGCAAGGAAAATCCCAGGGCTGTGGGCTTCTCCCACCCCATCTCAGACCACAGCGTTGGTGGTGTGGGCAATTAAGAGAGGCTGGCAAGAGAGGGCAGTGGAGACTCAGGGGGTGAGCAGCCATGAGCTGCTCCAGCTTGGTTCCCAAGTGACCAGCCTCCTGCTGATGTCCCAGTGGCTGCTCAGGGTCTTAGCTTGGCCTGCTCACTGGAGGGAACTCTTGACAATTTCAGGAGACAGGAAAACCTCCAGTTTCAGGGGCTCAGTTGGGGACACCAAAGGGGCTCCATCTGCCCCTTCTCATCCCCTTAGGAATCAGAATCTCTGTTTCCTTTACCCCTTCAGAGATCGCAGGGAGAATATCCAACAAAGAAAGGCAGGTGTAAAGGTCCTGGGGTTCAAATGAGTGTTTGGCTGCAGAGCAACGAGGGGCCAATGGACTGAAGGAACATAAGGAAGGAGGGAAAGGTCATTATCAGTGCAAGGTGGGTTGGAGGGGCTGAGCTACGTGCAGCCTTGTGCCTGGCCCAGTGCATCCTGGGTTCTTGAGTTGGAATGTGCAGGTTTGTGAGCACATGGTTTTGCAAGAGGCTACCACAGAAAGGATAGCAAGGGGCCCAAGATCTAGCAAGCACTAGGACCTGCTTCCATCCTGAAGGGAGAGCCTCACATCCCAGCCTCAGCTGGAGCGGCAAAGGCTCTGCCAGGACCCTGCTCAGGGGCCAGGAAGCAGGAGCATGGGGAGCACCCTGGTGGCTCCTAGCCTGGGCCTTGCTGCCTGGGAATGGCCGGCAGCAGCTGAGGCCGGGGCCAGAGGCAGCTACCAGACAAAGGCCCTGCCGATAGGAAACCCCAGCCCAGGGCCAGGCCAAGAGCCAGACTGGCTCCCAGCATGCACAGCGCTCCCGCAGCCCAGCCCCAGGAGCACTGCCTCCTCAACCTTCTGCCATCTGACCCCCTAGGACACAGGGTCATCTCTTCCTCCAGATGCCTGCCTCAGGGCCAGGCTGGGCTAGCCACTGTGGCAGATCACACTGCACCTGACCAGCTGCTCAGGCTGCATACCTCCCTGTCATCCTAAATTCTAACTGTTCCTCTTTCCAACACCCACTCTCCAAGCAACGGGCTATGTTCCGAATTCTACATACACACTGACTCACTGACTCATCATCACACAGCCTTATGACTCCCATTTTACAGATGAGGGAAACGAGGCACAGAGTTCACGAAGCTGATAAAGATCACACAGAGGTGGAAGACGTTTCCTCAGATTCCACTGCATGGCCTCTTCAAGGCCTGGAAAACTTGTCACTTCCTCCAGAAAGTCCTCCCCAGTGCAAGAAAAATCAGACAGATCCAAGTTCCAATCCCAGCTCTGCTACCGATAACCTGTGCTACCTACGAGAGTCACTTAATCTCTCTGGGTCTTGTAATTCCTAGCATGGAGACAAAACTAAACAAAACCCCTTGTGTTCATTTGTCCTTTTGTTTTTTGAGTTCTATACCATTGTACATGGTTTTTCTGTTTTGTTTTGTTTTTGTCAGTTGTGGCCTGAACTCTGGGCCTGGGCGCTGTCCCTCAGCTCTTCAGCTCAAGGCTAGCACTCTACCACTTGAACCACAGCACAACTTCCGGCTTTTTCTGCTTATGTGGTACTGAGGAATCAAACTCAGGGCCTCATGCATGCCAGGCAAGCACTCTACCACTGAGCTACCTTCCCAGCCCCTGTACATGGGCTTTTTAATGAAAAAGATAAAGTATATTTTACAAAGAACCTTACTGCGCCATCTGCACTCCCTTTAGTGAAGCGTTGGGGTCTCCTTGCCCGGGATCGCAATCAGTAACCTCAGACCCCAGAGCGGCCTTGGCCATGGTCATAGCTTCCCCCGGGGACAGCCTGAGTGTGCAGATGTGCCCTGGACGCTGGGATGTAAGGCCTCGCCAACTCTGATCAACTAGATAATTCTCAAAGGCCTGCTCGGCTCTCAGTGGTACTTTGTGGAGTGTGGTCTGCCTCACAGAGACCCTCCCCCTCTACACTCCTCCTCTTCCCCAGGCCATGACTCCTGCTGGCAGTCATCTGGGAGTCTGTCCTGTGGATGAGGGCGGGAGGAAGCAGGTGCCTATCACACTTGGGGATACTGAGTAAGAACTTTGATCTGAAATTAACCAATGGGAACTAGAGCCCAGAGAGGCTAAAGAGCCTGCCTAAGTGCCCCAGCAGGGAATGGCAGCGCCCAGATTCGAGTTCAGGTGTGCACCCCTAGTCTAGCTGCTGGCCAGCACACACTGAACAGTGCTGTGCATGGTCACGGTATCTAAGGCTGAAACTGAAAACAGCTCCAAGGGGAACACCGTGTGGGAGGGGCTTCCGGTTTCCTTCGCTGACTGAGGTTTCCAGCACCCTGGTGGTGCAGCCCCATGCCCCCATGCATGCTGACCTCGAGCCCCAGCTCTATCACCCACCTGCAGAGGCAAGCTCTCAGCCTTGAGTTGGTTTCCTCAGCTGTATGGTGTATGGGGGCAGCCACAGTGCCTGCCACAGCAGAGTTGGTGAGTGGAAACTGGGCCGATACCTGCTCAGTGTTTCAGGCAGGGCCTGGAGCCTGGGAAGTTCCAGGTAAAATGCAGTGGTGCATTATGTGAATGCAATGGTGCATTATGCACACGTTGGGGCTGAGGACTGGCTGTCTCTGGGAGCCAGCCACCCTCACCTGCACTGGGGCACTCATTTCTTTCACGCTGCCCCAGCCCTGGCCCCGGGGCTCACAGGGGCCTCCGGAATAACATTAATAACAGCATTAAACAATGTAATTAGGTTTATCTAACACTCACACCACTGACTCTAGAGCCAGACTTGCTGGATTTGAGTCCTGACCCCCACAGCTGTGTGGCCTTCAACAGCTGACTCTACCTCTCTGTGTCTGGCTTCTTTACCTATAGAGTGGGGATAATAATGGCGGTGTCTAACTCTCAGGTTTGGTGGGGGTTTTCCTGGAATTACAATATGGGAAGTATGGTGACGGGTGCTTGGTAAGAGGCAAGAACCAGCTACTCCTCTGGGCTTATAGGCCCTTGATCAGTGTCAGCTCTGGTGTTCATGCTGAGCCCACCTCCAGCTTCTGAGGGACTAGATCAGACTTCATTCCTCACCATCTCGCCAGCATCAGTTGCCGAGGGCAGGCCCACCAGCTAGGAATTATGACTGTCCCAGTGTGACTACCAGTGTGACTAAGCTGGCCTGAAACCCGCACCCAGCTCTTACCTCACAGCCTTTGGCCATGGCGAAGCCTCCTCCCAGCAGGAGAATGATGTTCCAGGGCACGGTCTCTTGGGCCTTCTTCCAGCTCAGTAGGGGCTCCGTCTCAGTGATGGGAGCTGGGCAGAAAGAGGGGCCACTGTCCAGGGTGCGGGCACAGCGGCCCTGCACCTGCTGGGCTGGTTGTGCTCTGCATCTGCAGGTGCCACTTCAAGGGAAGGCCTCAAGTGTCATGATGGGGTGTCTACTGTTTAGAATGAGAATATTCAGGGCTCCTATAGCTTGAGAATATTCCAGAACCAGGACTTTTCCACAGGCAGGACTTTGCTTACATCTTTCAACAGCCTTTGTGCCTTGGTCTATTTTTTCTTCATTTACAAGGGAGTCTTCTCTTTATGTCTCTGTTCTGGGGGCAGGAGGAAGGAAATTTGGAAAAGTAGAAAGGAAGGGTCCTCTGACCCATGAAATTATGCCCTCGCTTTGATTTCTGCAGTGAGGCAGTGTGCAGCCTGGATGGCAAGCACAAAGTGGTCACAAAACTCCTGCCTGGCAGGAGAGGGGGTGATCTGGGATTGCCATTTGCTGTGTATGTGTGTGTGTGTGTATGTGTGTGTGTGTGTATGTGTGTGTGTGTGCATGCATGTGTGTGTGTGTGTGTGCGCACACACACACACACACACACAGTCTTCCTATAAAGTTCGATCTACACAGGGCAGCAGCCAGATCAGACATGGGGGCTTAGGACCCCAGGGCTGGGGCAGGCACAGGCCTGGTTTCTACGTTCAACTTTCATGTCCACGGGACTGGCCATCGAGGAAAGAGAGTAACATCTGCCTGCTTTCTGTGGCCTTTGCCTGTCCTGCCTGGCCGCAGGACTGAGACAGTTGCCACCCTGCGTCTGCTGTGCATCAGTGCTAGCTCGGTGGGCATCCGTGTGGGTGGTCCCTGGACTCTAAGATCTCTCACAGCAGGGGCAGGAGGCACCTCTGTGAACCCTCCCTTGGAGAGGCCCAGAGGGTCTCCTGCAGTTGCAGGAGGTCACCTGGCAAACTGGCAACACAGCTGGGGTAGTGGTCATTTAGGTCATGTCCCTCCTCCACAGCCCCCATTGATGCACTGGACATCGAGTCCCCATAGGGGACAGAGATAGGGATGGGCACCAGGGTCCCATGGGGCCAAGACCTCCCTCTAGGGAAGATCTACTCGTGAGGACATGCTGGACCATGGGTGTCCCCTCTCAGCCATGCTGGACCACGGGTGTCCCCTCTCAGCCATGCTGGACCACGGGTGTCCCCTCTCAGCCACAGCGTGGGGGACAGAGACAATGGGGCAGCTAAAGGTGCAGGTGAGGCGGGAGTACAGAGGGAGGCACTGGGCTGGGCTGGGCTGGGCTGGGCTGGGCTGGGCTGGGCTGGGCTGGGCTGGGCTGGGCTGGGCTGGGGCAGTGAGGAGCAGGCCCGAGGAAGCTGTGCAGGAGACACTAGCAGCAAGTGCCTGCGGAAGGGATCAGATATGGCAAAGCCATGAAAACATGACAAGGAAGGAGATAGGCAAAACCAGGCACTAAAATGAAGAGATCCAGAGACAAAGCCAAGAAGCCATGGTGACTCTGGAGATGAGAAGGTGATGGGGAGGGGGAGGGCTCAGCAGGGGACATGGGGGGGGGATCATCTGGAAGTAGGACAGAGACAAGAGTTGGCCATGCCACTATAGTGGCCCCCAGCCTGCAGAGGTCTCCTGGGGTCCAGCTCCCCCTTGTGGGACCTGGATCCCCACTCCTGGTACCCTGCCTGCCCTCCTGCCCCTCACCCTGTCCTCCTCCTGGAATCCTGCGCCCCCTCCTGGCTCCCAGCTGTACTGGAGTAGCTTTAGGAACACCTGCCTCCTTCTGGGTTCTCAAGCCTCACCTGCTGAATTTTCTATAATGTTTTATTTAATCAATAGAAAGTTGATAGATTATGATCTCTGTTTCAAGCTTCTTTACCCAGAGCTCCTGGCTGTCTCAGGCAAAGGCCAGTGTAGCCTGGACCTGGGGGTGGGGCCTGCCCCACCTTCCAGGGAGCCTCTGCTTGGAGCCTGTGGGGTCCTCAGTGCAACCTGAAGGTGGCCTTCAGGTGCACAGTGACTTTCAAGAACTGCCTTTGAAGCCTGGGACCCCTGGGACCCCAGCACTTGCGCTTCCCTATAAACCCAGCACGGGGATTTGCTGCCAGGCCCCTCGGCAGTAGAACTGCAGTTCCCACACTGGGCCAGGGGGTCCCCAGGGCTTGTGTAAGGGCCACACACTGAAGTCTGTGGGGCTTTGTGGGCTAAGAGGCAAGAACAGAGGCCATTGTCTACGTACTTACATAACTGAAGACAGTTCCCACACATTCCTTGAGAAAACGCATAACTATTCATGGGTACTGAAACCTGAAGTTCACAAAACAATTATGTGTTGGGAGCTATGTGTCTTTGGATTTCTTTCCCTTTTTCCCCCCAACTATTTGAAAATGTAAAAACCATTCAGCGCTCCTGGGTTGTACAAAAACAGTTGCTGGATCTGACCTGGGAACGGTCGCTGCTCACACCTGCCTTAGATTGTCGCCTCAGGCAGCCTGAAGTCCCTGGAGGAGGTCACAACTTAGCTCAGGGGACAAGCAGGCCACGTGGTTGGCACGGCCAGGCCTCTCAAGACTGCAGACTCCCACATCCCACTTCTCTCCAAGACCCTCTGCGGCCACCATACCTTTGAAGTCAAACCACCACTTGAGCGAAGGCCTCTGGGACGGGAAGAAGAATAAGATGATGACAATGGTCACGCCGGTGACTGCGTCGGAAATGAACCTACAACAACAAAGCCCCAAACATGAGGCCCTGGCTCTCAGCAGGCCATGCACCATCTGGCAGGTCTGCCAAGGAAACTTTGTGCCAGGGAATTATGCCCACTGGGAAGGGCACAGTGGGAGGCTGGGCTGCCAGCCACTGGCCTGCACCGGGCCCACCATGGAGCTCCCTCCCGACGTGTTTTGATGCTGCTGCTGAGCCTGTGCTAGGCCAAGGACCTTGGAGGAGGCCTGGAGCAAATGGAGGAATCTGAAACCCATGGGGTATCAGAGTCCGTGAAGTCTTCCCAGCCTCCCTCACTTAGACTCCTGTTCGGTGTCCCAAATGTGCTGGTCCAGCCAATACTTGAGATGGAACTGTGGTTTTCTGGCTCTGAGTTCAATGAGGGCCAGAGTCTATTGCTCACAAAGCTCCTTTGGCTGCAGGTTTGGGAAGAAGAGTTGGAAAGGCTGCCCTGCCTCCCTCCAGCAGGAGAAATGCAAAGCAGAACACCAGTGCTGCTCCGCTCAGCTGCCAACAGGCTGTCAAAGCAGCTTTGGTGAGAGAGACAAGCGTGGCATACGGGGTCACACACTGGTACTGGGAGAATGGAGTTCCCTCAGGAGGGAAGCTGGTGCCCCAATTCAAAATTTTCCATGTGAAGACTCTGTGATTCAATTACTCTCCCAGGAACAACCCTTGGGAAAGAATCAGATTGTCCCACAGAGTGGGATTTCGTGTGTGTGTGTGTGTGTGTGTGTGTGTGTGTGTGTGTGTGTCAGTCCTGGGGCTTGAACTCAGGGCCTTGTTGCTGTCCCTGAGCTTTTTTTTGTTCAAGGCTAGGGCTCTACCACTTGAGATACACCTCCACTTCTGGCTTTTGGGTCATTTATTGGAGATTCTTATCTAATCTTACTTTTAATATGGCTATACTTATCTCATAAACTTTCTTTTGGGGGCTTCGAATCATGATCCTCAGATCTCAGCCTCCTGCATAGCTAGGATTACAGGCGTAAGCCACTGGCACCTGGCTCCTTTCACTTTTTAATATGACTGTTTAATTCTTTTAGCTGGGTGTGGTGATGTATGCCTGTGATCCCAGCTCAACCAGAGGCAGAGGTTGAAGGATTACCAATTGAGGCTTGCCCAGAACAAAACAACAACAACCTACCTACCTAAAAAACAATTATAGCAAAATGAAAGGGCTGGGGTGATGGTTCAGGAGGTAAAGCACCTGCCTAGCAATCAGGAGGCCCTAAGTTCAAATCCCAATACTGTGGCTCCTCTCAAAACAATGCCCATCCAGGAATGATTCTACATTGTGACCATGCTATGGTCAGGACTATGTATCTGTGGGAACTTACAGTACCTTTGAGATGGTGTGCTTATTGCCTGTAGTTATACTTCTATAAAACACATGACTGGGCTGGGAAGGTGGCTCAGTGGTAGGGTGCTTGCCTTGCATGCAGAGGCCCTGGGTTCGATTCCCCAGCACCACATAAGCAGAAAAAAAAAAAAGCCGGAAGTGGCACTGTGGCTTAAGTGGTAGAGTGCTAGCCTTGAGCTGAAGAGCTGAGGGACAGTGCCCAGGCCCAGAGTTCAGGCCCCAGGACCGGACCCCCCCCCAAAAAAAATGACAGGTAAAAGAAACCCTGCTGAGGTACAAGATTTCTTAACAGAAATGTGATCACACTAATTATATTATTTGTAGTCTGCTTTTTAAATTTTCTAATAGCCAAGGTTATGCACACTCACCAAAAATTCAAATGATGTTAAACTGAAAAAGTAGAAATAACTGTCTTTTCTCTGTGCTGTTGGGCTCCTGGAGATCAGGCTCAATATGCACACGCATGTTTATACACACACACGTGTGTGTGTGCATGGGACAAGAGTAGTATAATATAATCATGGACAGCCTGCTATTTCCAACCTCATTCCTTTTATTTTCCATTACTGAGGTTTGAACTTCGCTTGTTCGGATCTCTCGCTTGCTCATCTCTTGTTCATCGTTGGTGTTCTACCATTTGATCCATACTTCTAGCCCAGCTTTTTCTTGGTTATTTTGGAGACCGAGTCTCATTCATGTTTCTACCTGGGTTAGCTTTCAGCTATGAGCCGCTAGATCTTAGCTTCCTGAGTAGTTAGGATTGCACTTGACACTTTATTTCTTCTGTAAGTACTTAATAGAGACTATGCAATAAGAGCATTTCATAGTGAGGAATCAACTCATTCCCTACAGGTCTGTATTCCCTACAGGGCTGTGACTAATGCTGCAGATAAAACCTTGCCTTTAAAAAGCAAGTTGTATTTCAATGTCATTGCATAAGTATTCATACTATTTTACAGATGAGGAAACGGAGGCTTGGAGAGGTAAAGTGACTGCCGTTCCCAGGTTCCCAGGCCTCAGATAAAAGAACAAAGATCTTGTGGGAAGGCCCTTCCCTCTCCTTCCACCACCTGTCCTTCCAGCTTGCCAGGCCGCCGGACTTCCTTCTGTCCTCCAGACTTGCTCAGTCTCTTCCTGCCTCAGGCTGCAGTAGATATTCTAAGAGTAACTCCACTCACTGCCTTTACCTCTGCCTTTCCTGACTTCTGGTTCTTTCTAGAACTTTCCAATGTCAATGCCCTACCTCAATATGTTATAATGTAAATGGTTTGCTTCTTCTTCACAGCATGCAATCAAATGTTTCCACTTCTGTCTGTGTCCCTGTCACCCAATGGGACTCCACATCACAGTCCTCCCAAAGGAAGGGAGCAGGGGAGGAGGGTGAGTAGAGGAAGAGATGGAAAGAAAGAAGCGTTGTCCACAGTTGGGCAGCTGTTATGGGACAGAGCTAGAATCAGATCCAGTTCTGTCTGATTCCCAAGGCAGAGCTCCTGCCACTTCGCAAACCTTATGTGCTATGCAAACCTCAACACCTCTCAGAGGGCAATGAAGCCAGAATGACATGGTGACATGGTGACATGGTGTGAGGTAAAAGCCAACCTAGGGCTCCCAGCTGCGCCATCCCTCCAGCTCCACAGGCCCACCCTAGACCCCTTCCTGCAGAGCTCCATCCCAGAGGTCCCCAGAATCTCACCCAGGGGTGAAGAAGCTGGCCCAGCCAGGGATGAACTTCGGATCCCGGGAGAAGAGGAGGACGGCGAATGCACAGAACAGTATAAACACGGCCTGCTCTGCAAACCTATATCAAGAGCGGGTGGGTTTGGCAAACATGGTCTCAGGCAGGCAGCACTCTGAGAATAGACAGCAGGTCATTCATTCTCAAAGGAGTCCCAGGGTAAGGGACAGACAGACATGGAGAGAGGGGTAAAAAGACAGAACCCCCCCGCATCATACCCCCTTCACAGACTGGGGAGGGAGGGGGTCCCAGAGCAAGTTAGCACCCTGCCCAAAGCCAGATGGGAGGTGTTGGCAGATCGGCCATGAGAGGCTAGCTGAAGCCTAGCTATCTCACCCAGTGGGAGGTGCACATTAATCAAAGCCCTAGAAGGCAGAGACAGTGCCAGCAGGATTCTGGGAAAGGTGCCTAGGTGGGGAGGGAGCAGATTCTCACCCAGAGCTTTGTGGCCTTCCTGGTGGCCACCCCAGCACCAGGGCAGGGCCGCTGCTCTGTGCTGGGAAACTGCCACCCTCCCTCCCCAGGCGGTGGTCCTAATGCTTCCCCAGGGATGGGACACAGCCAGGACAAGGCTGAAGTAGCTCCCGGACAATCCCCCTGACAATCGAACACATCCTCTCCCCATTCCCTCCCCGCCTCCCCCACCAGACAGCCACGTACTTGGTGGGCCCCAAGTTCTGGAATTCTTCCTGAATCACAGCTCTGGCCTTGTCTTCCGCATGAGTTTGTAGCTCCGATTTCTTCTTCCTCCAGCCCCTGAAACAGAAAGACAGCATTTAGGAATGGTGACTGCGGGTGGCGAGCATGGTGACCTTCTTGCCCACTGCCTATCCCCACTAACCACACCCCAGTGGCCACTTGGACTCCCTGCCATTTGCCGTCCATTCCTACAAGTGTGGCCCCCATCTAGAGCACAGCTGACCTTTAAAAAGTGAATTGTAAGTCATTATGACACCCAGGCTTATGGATGGAACAGCCCACAAATAAGCAGACGAAACCAGTGGAACAAAATGGAAAGCCTAGAAACTCAACTGCCTCACAAATGGGGAGTTTTACTGATGAAAAAGTTGGCATCTCAGATTGGTGAAGCTAAACAGGCCATTTAGTAATGCTGTTGGACACACAGAGCATTGGAAGGGGGCTGAGTGTCCAGGGGTAACCCCATTCCTCAGTGACCCATTTGACATGAGTACCAAGATCATATAATGGGAAGGGGTCCTCTCATATGGCATTCGGCAACCTGGATATCCATGGGCAAAAAGGAGGACTTTGGACTCCTTCCTCCTCCTGTAGACAGAACTTAAAATGAATTAAAGATCTGAAGATAAGAGCTAAAAACTGTAGAGATGTTAGAAGAAAACAGAGGGGTAATTAAGATTAAGCACCAGTCTCTTAGACACCAAAAAGAATAAGCAACCAAACACAGAGAAACGGGACTTCATGAAAATTGAAGTTGCATGTTCCAGTAAATGGTGTTAGGATTACTAACAGGCAGGAAGGGTAGACACTTGTGACCAGAACAAAGTTCCACCCAAGCTTCCTACTGTACCCCAACTCCAAGAGAATCCCAGGTAGTGAAGAGATTTAAATGTAATATATATACTACAAGAAAACACAGGACTGTTTGTATAACTGTCTGGAAATCTTTTCTAAACTGTAATAGAAACTTCTGAAAAATAGAAACTTCTCAAAAATTCTAAAAAGAATTCTAAAAAGAAAAAGCACAAGAAATCCAATCAAAAGCCGAGCGCCAGTGGCTCACACCTGTAATCCTAGCTACTCAGGAGGCTGAGATCTGAGGATCACAGTTCAAAGCCAGCCTGGGCAGAAAAGTCTGTGAGACTCTTATCTCCAATAAACCACAAGAAAACCAGAAGTGGCGCTGTGGCTCAAGCGGTAGCGCACTTGCCTTGATCTGAAGAGCCCAGGGACAGTGTCCAAGCCCAGAGTTCAAGCCCTACAACTGACCAAAAAAAAAAAAAAAAAAAATCCAATCAAAAAACAAATAAGCTGGGTGCTGGTGGCTAATGCCTGTAATACTAGCTACTCAGGAGGCTGAGATCTGAAGATTGAGGGGCAGGCCCAGGCAGGCTCCAATTAACCATGATAAAACCAGAAGTGGCACTGTGGCTCAAGTGGTAGAATGCTTGCCTTGAGCTGAAGAGCTTAAGGACAGCATCCAGGCCCAGAGTTCAAGTCCCACAATCAACAATAACAAAAAAGACAAATCAGGAAAATACTGACATTGCATATTGAGGAATAAGTAATGTTTTCTAATATAAAGAATAGCAATGCTTACTCATGCTCTCCATTTACCAGGTTTCAGATTTCCTTAATATTTTCACTACCCACAGGGAGCCAAAAGCAGGTGGTGGTCCAGGGTGCTGGGAAGCTTGGGGCTGTCTCCCTGCAGCTTCCCCAAGAAGGTGACATGAAATACCTTAAGCGAATCCCCACATACAGGAAGGTGATCCAGAGCCAGCCCACTAGCAGGAACAGCACCATGAGCGGGAAGGCGAAAATGAACCAGGAGCCGAAGTTGACCACGTCACACTGAGGAAAGAAGCTGCAGAAGAACAGGGGTGAGGGGAACCTGCTGGACCCACAGCCCTACCCAAGGTCCACAGGGTCCAGAGGGGTGTGGGAGGGCCCTGGGAGGCATGGGAACAGCCTGTTCCTCTGCTCCAGACACAGGAAGCACTGCCTCTCTGGTGGAACTCTAGGTTCTGACTGGCGCTGCCTGTGTCCTGCAGGCCAGTGAAGCAGGTAGGTCCAAGTATGGTGAACCAACTGCAGGGCTCGGCTGGCACTGGCACTGTGGTAACTGTGCAAGAGGACGTTCAGCCGAGTCAGACCTGGGCTTCGTTTGGCATGACATGATGTTTACATGCTGGTCATTTGGTTAAATGTTCTTCGGGAATGTTTTTAGCCAAACAAAACACTCGGTGCGGTCCAACCTCTGCCCTCCTCTTCTGTCCTCACAGAGCCTAGGCAGAGGCTACGGCAAGCAGCGGTGTCCTCAGATCTTTCTGCTAGTGCTCATCCTCTGTTTGTTGGTAGATAGATGTCATCAAACCTGAGGGGACTGAGGGCAGACACACCCATGCCGGGGATGCCTGCTGCCTCTTTACCTCAACCATGTGTTCTGGAGAGGAAGTTGGCAAAATGCACAGATCCTTATAAATGTGTGTACCTCTTTATGCAGGAACTCTGCTGCTAAAATATATCTTTTAAAAATCTAGAAGATATGTGGCAGATTGGAAAGAAAGAAAAAAATGTTACAAGATGATATGATAAAAGTAGATAGAATTTTAAAAAGTAAAAAAAAAGCAGATAGAAACAAACTCACTCTCAGGCATTTCTAAGTGAAGAAACAAAAATATGGATTTAATGCCTAGTAATATGCAAAATACTAATAAATAATGAGGTAGAGATTTTCTAAAGTGAGTAACTATGCTTGTGTGATTAAAGAGAAATTTTAAATTGTAGTGGATATGTGGCCAGTCATACAATTCATAACAGCAAAATAGTAATAAAATGAAAACAATCATAAACTGGGCATGGTGGCATGGGCCTGTAATGCCAGCACTCACGAGGCTGGGGAGGAGGATCCAGAATTTGAGGTTAGCCTGGACTACACAGTGAGACTCTGTCATAAACAGAAAAGAAAAATGGGCTGGGAAAGTGGCTCAGTGGTAGAGTGCTTGCCTTGCATGTATGAGGCCCTGGGTTCGATTCCTCAGCACCACATTAGCAAAAAAAAAAAAATCTTGAAAAAGAAAAGAAAAATCAAAATGTCATAAGTTAATACAAAGTGTAATACTCCAAATAAGATAATTTATCCATTAAAAATGTATGTTTCCTGTAAAATTTTAATGATTAAAATCAGGCCATAAAACTGTAGCAATCGTATGTTGTCAATAATATTAAATAGGGTTAGGAATGTGGCTCAGTGGTAGAGTGCTTGCCTAGCATGCATGAAGCCCTGGGTTCCATTCCTCAGTACCACATACACAGAAAGAGCCAGAAGAGGCACTGTGGCTCAAGTGGCACTGTGGCTCAAGTGGTAGAGTACTAACCTTGAGCAAAAACAGCTCAGGGACAGTGCCCAGGCCCTGAGTTCAAGCACCAGGACTGGCAAAATAATTATAATAATATTAACTATGTATAGACATCATTAAATATATGGTGATATAAAAGACTAGAAGGAAGTCTGATATCAATTGGATTGAAGTGTTTCATAATGTGCCTGTGTCATTTTATAATCAGATGGAACGAATAAAATGGACCTCCAGGGCAGCTGTGTCCGTGCCCAGGCTCCCACAGCCCCTGGCTGGAGGTGCAGAATCATGCAGCCTAGATGGAAAGCCCCCTTTCCATCCCAAAGGCCTCAGGCTATGCCATCAAAGGTTGCAGCCAGTTTGCAACAAAAATTCTAGGCACCAGTGGCTCACATCTAGAATCCTGGCTGCTCAGGAGGCTGAAATCTGAGGATCACGGTTCGAAGCCAGCCTGAGCAGGAAAATCCATGAGATTCTTATCTCTAATTAACCATTTTAAAAAGCCAGAAGTGGAGAAGTGGAGTGTGTCTCAAGTGGCACAGTGCTAGCCTTGAGCACAAAAGGTCAGGGACAGTACCCCGGTCATCAGTTCAAGCCTCAGGATTGGGACAGCAATAAATAAAAACCAAGAACAAAAATTCTAAGCTTGTCTTTCCACAGCTCCAATGCTTTCTCCTCACTTTTTTCAAACTCAAGGCAAGTCTTGTTCCCATGTGAAAACCACCACAGCAGCTGCCCCCCACTCCAAACTCAGTTCCAGGCCCTGCACGCCACAGTCCTTGGCTTCCTGTCCAGATCAGGGGCTGGGCTCCTACAGATCCCGGCACCAATGCTCAGCCACCCTGCCAGCAGTACACTACAGGGAAGAAAGGGCTGAGCTCAGCTTCTCCCATACTAGAAGAGGACAATATTGGCTTCTGGTTGTTCAACTACCAACCAAAGCCATGAGGTTCAGCCAAGGTCTCCTTCAAAGGATAGAGATCAAAAGATGCCGAGGTTTGTTGCAAAACTCTGTGTGTTCACCCTGGCTGGCAGCGTGTGCAACTGGGTCCTGGCTCACAGCCTCAATGAGAATCTAGGCAAGGCCCAGCCCCCTTCCCCTGTAATTCTAACATGCCCTGTTCTGTTTTGTTTTGTGTTGTTTTCCACCAACTACTAAAAGGAAAGAGTTTAGAGTTCTAGAATGTAGTGGTAATTCACCAGACCAAACACAGGTAGGGCTATGAAAAAGTCCTGGAAAATAACTTTTTTTTCCTTTTGAGATAGGGTGTTACTATGTAACCTAGGTGGGCCTTGAATTCATGATGCTCCTGCCTCAACCTGCTAAGTGCTGGGATTATAGGCATGTATCACCATGCTTGGTGAGGGGAAGTAACTCATGAGTCTAGCACAGGGAACCAAGGCCACTTTCCTTCCATTGGGCTTGTAGGTTTGACTCTGCTTGAACGCCAACATTTGGAACCATACTGAATACCAGTGCTAATGTACAGCTGCTTATATTTGCACTTATGCAAATCTAATCAACATATGCTACATCTCCACTGCCATAGCTGGAGGTGGAGAGGGTAAAAGGGCATTAGAAACATGGCTTCTCAGAATCCTGGAATCTGAAGATCACAGACACAGAATCTTGGAGGACTGGATCTTTATTCTTCCTTTGATTTCTTAGAAACTAGAGGCCAGGATTGTAGAACAAGGTTGTGAGCGGAGAATTCTCTTCTATTGTCAGCCACAGCAGATCTCACAGAACGCACTACTTCTCTTGCCCCATCCAGCAGGGTTTTTTTGTTGTTGTTGTTTTGTTTTTGTTGTTCATGGGACTTAAACTCTAGGCCTGGGCGCTGTCCCTGAGCTCTTCAGCTGAAGGCCAGTGCTCTACCACTTGAGCCAGAGCACTACTTCCGGTTTTCTGAGTGGTTTATTGGAGATAAGAGTCTCATGGGCTTTCCGGTCTGGCTTTGAACTTCCATCCTCAGATCTCAGCTTCCTGAGTAGCTAGGATTACAGGCCTGAGCCACCAGCGCCCGGCCAGGCTTTGCTTTTTTACAGCGTCAGGCCCTCCTCTGCTCTGGCACACCATGCCTTCCCATCTAACCCGAAGGAAAGCTGGAGTTCTCAGACAGTGCTATGCTTTTAAACTTCCCCCTTCTCACCTCTGCTTTGCACAGGCGTGCCAGCCTCCCTTGCCTTTTCCCCTCCCTCCCTCCCTTCCTCTCTCCACTTTCTCCCTTCTTCTCTCCTTTCCTCTCTTCCTTCCTTCTTCACATTGTAGAGAGCATCTCACTATGTTGCTCAGGTTGTTCTCCAACTCGTGGGTTCAAGGACTACTCCTGTCTCGGCCTACTAAGTAGCTACCACTGCAGGCGTCCACCACTACACCCGCAGGCTGCCATATCTGTTCTCTTTTCTTGCTGATCCCCTCTGTGTGAAATGCTCTGCTGCCGGTGCTCACATAGCGCCTACTCTCATCTCCAGCCATCTGCTCCAATGTCACCTTAGCAAATAGAGGACCCATGACCCAACTGGCCTATTATGGTCCACTCTTTGTCACTGGGACCCTCTCATCTATCAGGGCTCTTTTGTTCACTGTCTCTTCCCTACTAGGGTGGCAGGAAATAGCACTCATGGGTGAGTGTTCCACATTCCCTGCATGGGGAATGAATAGGGGAAGAAGAGGAGAAGGAGGAGGAGGAGAAGGAGGAGCAGGAGCAGGAGCAAGAGGAGAAGGAGGAGGAGCAGGAGCAAGAGGAGGAGGAGGAGGAGGAGCCCAACTCTGGTTGAGGCACAAGGACACTCTAGTTTACCTCTTGAGCTGGCCAAGCAGGATGAGGTTGGGGGCTGTGCCGGTGAGGGTGGCGGTGCCCCCAATGCTGGCTGAGTAGGGGATGGAGATGAGGAAGCCTTTCCAGACATTTTTGCGGTATTCCTCTTCCTCCACAGGGTCAGCAGGTAGATCCAGCTGGGCCTCAGCCTCTTCTGCGTGACCCCTGCTTTCAATGACATCAAGGGAAGGTGTTCAGAGTCCCTGGCCTGTCATAGGCTGTTCTGCTTGCTGCTCGGGGGCTGAGGAGCCAAGGGGTCTTTCCTGAGGCAAAGCAGGTGCAGGTATGGATACCCTCCACTCAGATATCAATGCTAAGAATTTTTCCTAAAGAATGGATGAGACAAGGGTTTCCAGTGTGGGTGCAGGCTACTCACCACAGCATTAAATGTCATTTAAATGAAAAACAATAAAACATCCATCCAAACACAATCCTTGCTCTCAGTGCTGTTAGCATGGTGACCTGGATGGCTGTTTCCTACAGAAGCTCAGTGCCCAACAGGTGCAATACTACTTGGACTTTTATTTAAAAGTGTTGGTGTCTCCTTGAGCACTGGTTTATGCCTGTAATCCTAGCTACTCAAGAGGCTGAGATCTGAGGATTGTGGTTTGAAGCCAGCCTGAGCAGGAAAGTCTGTGAGACTCTTATCTCTAACTAGCAAAAAGACAGAAGTAGAGGCATGGCTCACATGGTAGAGTGCCAGCCTTGAGTGAAAACGCCAACGGAGAGTGTGAGACCTTGAGTTCAAGCTCCAATGCCAATATACAAACACGGAGAGAGGAGGGAGGAGCAAGGAGAGAGGAGAGAGAAAAGAAAAAGAAATGAACAGAAAAAGCCACGTGTCATGAATATACAAGTATTTAAAAAGACTAGAATAGGGCTGGGAAGGTGGCTCAGTGTTAGAGCACTTGCCTTGCATGCATGAGGCCCTGGGTTCGATTCCTCAGCACCACATAAGCAAAAAGAAAAAAGCCAGAAGTGGCGCTGTGGCTCAAATGGTAGAGTGCTAGCCTTGAGCTGAAGAGCTAAGGGACAGCGCCCAGGCCCAGAATTTAGGCCCCACGACCGGACCCAAAAAAAAAAAAAAAAGACTAGAATAAAACTAAACTAAATTAAACTAAGTTTATAACCGAGTTCAGCCCAGTAGGGTGGGCTCCGCACACCACAGTGAGGCTCTGCCCCCCCACCCCCCGGCCCGCCTCTCTATCCCCTTCCCGCTTTTTCTCCTGTACATCCATTAACCGCCTGCCACACTGGCCCTTTTACTCATGAATTTGTTTCTACAAGCTCCTTGAGGCCAGGGCCCACTGGAACGGGAGGCAAGGCCTCCCTGAGTGCATCTCTAGGGACTGGGATGGGCTCATTGGTAGATGCTCAGCTCTGCCTCCAGCAACCCATTGTTTCCGGCTGCTTCATCCAGTCAAGTCCAGGGAACCTGGCTTAGAAACAAGTGCTCCCATCTGTGCGCATCTGGCAGCCGGACCTCATGGGAACTCAGGCTTCAAAGGTGGGGCCCTGTGTCATGCCTCTGTCCTCCTGGCAGGGGAACTGTGGCTCTGCCAGGTTTGGAATACACACATATAATCAGAAGGCAGGTGGAGTGACTGAACCCGATGACCCTGACCTTGACCGTACCCCTGTGCTGCAGTGAGGACCCGCAGGCTGAATGTGACGTCCCTGTGCAGATGTCACGTCATGATGTCGAGGGGAAGGGCTGTTGCTGGGCTGCGAGGCAGTGTGGGCCTTTGAGCCTCATCTTTTCCCCCCACCTTGGTGACTCCCAGGCAACCTGTGCTCTCCCGCTGTCCTTGCTCCCTGCCTTCAAGGGAAGAGCACCAGGACCCTTGGCCCCTGGAGACCCTCAGAGAGGAACGTGCAACTGTCCTTCCCATCACGGCCAATTTCTATCCTATTCCATCCCATCCTTACTTCTCTCCACCTACCCTACCCTAGCCTATCCAGCTTACATCATCCTAGCCTGTTCGGCTTTTTAAGTGCCAGACTAACCTGGCCTGGCACTCTATCCTCCTACCTTTGCCTCTCAAGACTGCAGGTGTGTGCTACCACATCTGGCTAACAGCTGCCTTTTTTTTTTTTTTTTTTTTTCTGCTGGTCCCGGGGCCTGAACTCTGGCCTGGGCGTTGTCCCTCAGCTCTTCAGCTCAAGGCTAGCGCTCTACCACTTGAGCCACAGCGCCACTTCCAGCTTTTTCTGTTTATGTGGTGTTGAGGAATCAAACCCAGGGCCTCATGCATGCAAGGCAAGCACTCTACCACTGAGCCACCTTCCCAGCCCAACAGCTGCCTTTTTAATAGAGGTCACTGATGGCTATGCCTAAGCTACAGGGGTCCCCAGTGGGAACATGGACATTGGGTCACCTGGGCAGGGCTGGCTGTAGTGTCCGGTTCTTGCCCAAAGTTCCCTTGGATCAGGCCCTGGCTCCCTTCCGAATGTCTGGGGACACTTACCCTTCTGTGCTGGCGAGAAACTGCATCTCCATGGGCACCATGTGGAGCCCGTTTCTTCGCACAGCAGCTAGGAGGAGAGAGGATGACTTTAGTGCAATGGAGCAAGGCGATGGAAGAGTTCCAGTTCTCCTGCAGCCAGGCACTGGCCAAGGATGTCATACCATTCATTTAATAGGGGAATAGAAGAAAATAGAGTGGGGAGGGGGCAAGGAAACAGGAAGGGGGTGAGAAGGACAGGGAACAGTGAGCATCTGTAAAAAGCACATGGTAGGCCACAAGGTCTATGTTGTAACTATTCAACTCAGCCATTGTAACTCAAAGTGCCTCAGTTTGGACACTGGAATTTGAAATTTTTGTTGCTGTTGATTGTAGGGCTTGAACTCAGGGTGCCTGTTCCTGAGCTTTTGTGCTCAAGGCTAGTGCTCTATGACTTTGAACCACGGCACCACTTCTGGTTTTCTGGTGGTTCACTGGAGATAAGAGTCTCATGGCCTTTCTTGCCTGGGCTGACTCTGAACCATGATCCTCAGATCTCAGCCTCCTGAGTAGTTAGGATTACAAGCGTGAGCCACCAGTGCCCAGCCTGGAATCTGAATTCCATAGGCTCTTCACATGCCACAAAGTATTTTCATTCTTTGGATTTATTTCAACTATTAAAAAAATACATTAAAAACTACAGTTAGCCAACAGGCTTCACAGAAGGCAGACGGGATTCATTGTGTCATGGTTTGCCAAACCTTGATATAATGAATTTACCAAGACTGGGTGAGGTAGCTCACACCAGTTATCTCAGCTACCCTGTGACCAGAAGGATTAAAGTTTGAGGAAAAACAAAAACAGCAAACCAAAAACAACAGACAAAAGAAATCCTCATGAGACCTCAGCTTAACAGGAAGAGTTGAGTGTGGTACATGCCTGTTAGCCCAACTTCAGTGGGAAGTATAAATAGGAGAACCATGATCCAGACTAGCCCAGTGAAAAAGCAAGGTCCTATCTCTAAGAAAGGCTGGAGGCATGGCTGCCTAGTAAGTGCAAAGCCCTGAGCACAAAGCCAATTATGCCATAGAAAGAAAGGGGAGGGGAGGGGAGGAGGGTGAGAGGAAAGGGGGAGGAAGCAAGGAAAGAATTCACAGGGAAGCCCAAAATTCAGTGAATTCAGTATTCAGTGAGTGTGGTCACTGTGGGCAAGAAAGACAAGGTCTTGCCCAACACTGGGAACTGTTCCAACCCTTCCTGCCAGGCCATGTCCTCTTGCTGTACCTAAGGTTGGTTCTGCTGACCATGGGAAGAGTGTGAAGGTAAAAGTCAAGAACACACATGTTGGGTCTGGGCCAGGCAAAGGACTTTGGGGCTCAGGAGTGGAAACACGTGTTCACCAGCAGCCCACGAGGCCCCAGCCCAGGGCATGGAGGCAGGAAGCTGTTAATAGCACACCAATGGTGGGAGCAAAGTCACTCCCCAGGGGATGGCCTGACAGGAAGGACTCTGACCCAGTGACCCCTCATCTCTTGCTCACTCTGGACCTTCACGCTGGGCTGGGACCACAGTGGTTGAGGAGCTCACTTGCTCTTCAGGCACAAGCCACAGGTGAACTCTTCAGTGGGTACATACACAAGAGCTGTCTGGGGGTCCTGGGTTCACTCCAGAGGTGTGTTAGTAGCTGTAGAGTGGGCCTTAGTCAGTTTTGAACAGTTCTATAGGTGATGGATTTGTGCTGTCTGGAGCAAGAGCAACTCCTCTGAAGCACAGATAGGGAGATGAGGCCTCCAGTGGCTGCCCAGGCGCTGGGTGGTTTGGTTGTTCCCCAGTTTGTCCCATGCACAGAACCTAGCTGCTCACCACCTGCCCATAGCAACTACACGTGCCCCCAACAGTCATGCATGCAGGATAGATGGGAACTAATTTTGGTGTGGAAGATGGGTTCCCTGTTTCTTTAGGCAGAGAAGTATAAATGTAGAAATAGTTTATACCAGCATTAGGTTTCTGATGATAATAGCAAAAATAAAGCCAACAATGAGATGAAATTGAAAAAGAAAAAGGAAACTCTCTTAAGCCAAATGCTCTTAACCCCCTACCCTGGGTCTCCTCTGAGGTTCCCAGGCCGCTGTGGCTTGGGAAAGCCCATGGCAACAAACGACAGAACAGAGATGCTAGTCAGCCTTCCTGGTTCACAGAAGTTGGGCTGGACTGAGCTCTGAGCTGAGACAATGGCTTGGTCATAGGGTCTCAACCTTTGGGTTTACCTCAGACGAGGTGACTGAGAAATTTCATAAGTGTCATCTTACAGCAGCCTCGCAGAACTAGCAGGGCCTATTACCTTCCCCCATCTACTTGGAGAAACTGAGACCAGAGAGGGGTCTAGAGGAAATACGGCACCAGGCGCCAGTGGCTCACACCTGTAATCCCAGCTACTCAAGAGGCTGAGACCTGAGGGTTGAGGTTTGAAACCAAGATCAGGCAGACATATCCCCAAGACTCTGATCTCCAGTGAACCAGCAAAACCCTGAAGGTGTGGGCATGGCTCAAGTTGTAGAGCATCAGTCTAGAGCAGAAAAAGCCAAATAAGAGCTCAAGGCCTCCCCCACCAAAACAAGAGGAAGCAGTGGGCTAGTGGAAGAGCCAGACTGGTACCCGGGACTGTTAATCCTTCGACTCATGACTTTCCCATCTCCAAGGCACCCATGTGACGTTCAGCAAATCTGCCGATAAGAGTCCAACCTCTCAGTATGATTGAGAAGCTCTATGACACACACAAGGCCCTCCTAGAAGAGTTCTGGGTCAAACTAGGCAGACAACCCAAGGAGGAGGTCAAAGGTACCTGTGTGAGGGTTCATGTGTATTCATTCATTTGCAGCCTGGGAGGTAAGAATGATCACCCCAGAGGGACATGGGAGGAAACTGAGGTTTGTTCACTCTCTCTTCTAACACTGTGTCTGCTGACTACCCAGCCTGTGCTGAGTGTTACAGGTGGATAGGACTGTGGCCATTATTTGTGGAGATGGGAAGGATTCGTGGAGCCTTCACAGGGCAGATCACAAACAAGGGAACACACACACCCTGCTCAGCTCCAAAAAGCCTGACAGTAATTCTCATCCATTGCCGTGTACAGTCACTTCCCCACACTGGCTCTGGATTCCATGTGTCACTCAATCAGCACAACACAGGAGGTTTTGTCCTCACGCTGTGGGTAAGAAATCGCAGGAGGTGCTTTGGCACGATGCAGGAAAAGTGGAAGAGGAAGTCAATGCCTCATCCAGTCAAAGATTGCTTTGCAAATGGTGACATCTTGGGCATTCCTAGACAACAGCTTTGCTGGCATGCACAGTGACTTTCTTTGGTCAGAAGAGGCAAATTCCATAGTATCGGAAGTCAGGTGGGTCCCTCAGTGGTTGAAAGATATGGGGCCCATCTCTGCTTTTAGTATCTTTATCCCAGGGGCTCTGACAGCTGTGGTGAGAACAGTACCCTCTGTAGGTGGAACACGTAATGAATGCTTACAGGGAAAATGGAAGAAGTGCCACAGAGCTGGGGAAGGGAATGGGAAATGTGTATGACTTCCCACCAACACTGAAGAGCGCTGGGGTCTTGTCCAGTGAGGTCCACCCTGCCTGGGGTCTGCTCCCTTCTGATCCAGGCCCCGTGGCTCATCACTCGTAAGTGCAGGTTGTGAATTCAGACAAAACTCTGTCCTCACTCCATGTAACTCTGGGCAAATGATTCTGCCTCTCTGAGCTTGTCCCTTCATCTGTAAAAGGAGACTGTCTACCTTCTGGTACCATTAGGAAGATTAAACAAGCTAATGGGTATGAGCACGGGGTCATATTTCATACACAGTAGGTCTTTAGAAAATGACCTTCATATTAGCATTGTTGTGTGGCTGCTACAGGTGAACTTAAAGTCCCAGGGAGACTCCTTGTCCTTCTCCTGTTCCACCAACACCAACTTCCACATCCCATAGCTTGTCTCATTTCCAGCCACTGGCATGACCAAAGCACAGAAACTGGGTGAAAAGGACATCTCTCTGCCCCAGAGTTAGTCTTGTCCTGGGCCTCAGAGGCTGATCATTAACCAGCCCTCACTCTCCGATCTTGTGGCCTGGAAGTCAAGTGTCCACCCCAGCTTCCAGGCTCTCCTGCCTTCTCACACTCTACAGCACAGGGCAAATGACTCAGGACTTTGCATTACAACCACACTGTGTGTTACCTTGGGCAGGAGACAGTGCTAAGTAGCTGCCCCAGAAACAGCCAGAGCTGTTTACTATCTGCTTATTTACAGGAAAATCATCCAACTACTGTTATCTCTTCCCTTCTACGTGGAACAAGACTGCCCTTGTGGAAGTCCTAGCTCTGCTTAGGTAATGACAGCAGAATTCAGCGCGAATCATGTGATCACTTTGCATCTCACCTGTAAAGGGCTTAAGGTACTCTGAGCTTTCAGGGCTGTAGTGAAAATAAAATGAGAACTGTTTTGTGCATGATGGGGCAAGGCATACACTGCTGAAGCATGACAATCACTTTGTGGAGCAATGTTTTACTTTTAACAGGTACCTGTTCATTTTAACACACACTGCAAAGAACATAACTATATGTGATAGTGATAGAACCCAAGTCTACTGGGCTGATTTCCCATCTCTTGGGTGATGTGGCTTCTATCTTTGAATCCCAGGTGGTCTCTGTTACTCTGCCATTACATTTACATCCAGCCAGCAGGAAGCAGACTGCAAGAAGTACCCAGCAGGAAGCAGACAGTAGGAAGTACACAGCAGGAGGGCAGAAGCCAGCAGTTAGACTTATCATTTCTACTTATAGCCCATTGGCTACACTTAATCATCTGACCACATCTAACCAAAAGGGAAGCTAGGAAATTCAGTCTTTGCTCTGCACAGTCATTTGCCCTGTGGGGATTCTATTACTAAAAGAACAAAAGAAGAATTGATACGGGGATAGACTAACAATTTCTGCCTACATATGTATCTATTTAAAGCTAGCTTTAAAAATATGTTTAGGTAGTTAGGTGGAGTCTGATATCTGAGGATCGTGGTTCAAAGCCAGCTCAGGCAGGAAAGTCTGGGAGACTGTTATCTCCAGTTAACTACCAGAAAACTGGAAGTGGCTCGAAGTGGTAGAGCACTAGCCTTGAGCCCAAGAGCTCAGGGATATCGCAGAGGCCCCAAGTTCACTCCCCAGAACAACAACAACAATATAAACACACACACATATAACTATATATATAGTTTTCATATGTATACATATATATGTCAATAAAAGTGAGACTTTTTTTTTTTTTTTTTTGGGTCCAGTCGTGGGGCCTGAACTCTGGGCCTGTGTGCTATCCCTCAGCTCTTCAGCTCAAGGCTAGCGCTCTACCACTTAAGCTACAGCGCCACTTCCGGCTTTTTTCATTTTGCTTATGTGGTGCTGAGGAATCGAACCCAGGGCCTCATGCATGCAAGGCAAGCGCTCTACCACTGAGCCACCTTCCCAGCCCCATAAAAGTGAGACTTCTTATGGTGGCTGTGATATGGCTGTACTTTGTGGCCATGAGAGACCAGAGTTACCAGCAAGAACTCCTGATGTGTTTCTGGATGGATCCCAGAACTGCCTTTCTCTAACTTCATGATATCCGAAGAAAACACCCCCTATTATTAACCCAAAGACAGACATTCTTTTACTTTGGCCAAAATAATTCTCAGTGGTATAGCTGGTTTCATGGATAAGAGAGTAGGCTCTGGAGCCAAATTACCTGGGTCCAATGTTGGGCTCAGCCATTTGCTGTGTGATCTGAGAAAGTCAACTTCCCTTCTCTGGGCTAGCTCCCTTCTAACCTGGGCTCTCTCTGACATCCTTCCCACAGGAGCAACTAGGTTCTGTGTGCTTAGCTTTCCATTTTTCATGTAACAAGCCGAGTTGTTGCTCATACATAATTGGCACCATGACCACTGTGAGCAACATGATGGTTTGTTCTATGACCACAATTGCTTCAGGAGATCTGTTTAGACACTTTGGTTTGCTAATTATGGTGTCTCATAAAAGCAGCATGGCATCCTACGTGAGCAATGCCACCCTTTATTAGCTATGGAACTCACACCCCCTCAAATTCCCACCTCCAGATGAATGCAGCTAGCATCGAGTATGGCCATGTTGCCTCTGCGGGCCTGATGGCTGGCCTGGGCCATGCCCTCCCCAGTAGTGCTGGGGAGTTCCCATGCCTGCCTCTCCTCCTTCACCCCTCCCCTCCCCCCCTGCCACTGGCTACCCTCACTGTCCAATCTGCTGCCCCAGCTGCCTTGGTGGTGCCAGTCTTGTTGACTGAGATCTCATCGTTTCCATGGGCATTTCTGTTGTGAGTAGGGACACAGCATCTGTTCAAATGATTGCAAGCAAGTATAATTATTGTGCCTCTTTCAAAGGGCCACTTTGAAGGGCAAGAACCTACATATGTAGCTCACTTGGCTCACTGCTCAGCTCACAGTATGCTCAATTAATGCAAAACCTTCCAAATCAAGGAGCCATGGTTTGACTTTCTAAGTCTCAGTTACAACTACTGGGCATGGACTAGGTGCCCAATAATGGTGTATGCTCGTGGCCTTCCCCAGCACCCTTTCGATATCACTCCCCACCCCTTCACAAGGGTAGAGCAGGCCCCAATGCCTTTCCAAGCCTCACCTGCATTCTCCTCATGTTCCTGGCTGAGGTCTTTCGGAGGCTCCTTCTGGCCAAAGAGACTCTTGAGGATGGCACTAGCGATGGGCAGCATCATGGCAGTGGAGGCGGTGTTGCTCAGCCACATGGACAGGAACGAGGTGGTGACCATCATCCCCAGGATGAGCCTGAGGACCAGAGGAAGTTCAAAGTGAAGTGCAAGATGGACCCAGACCACGAGGTCTTGGAGTTCCTCTGCTCCTAGCTTCTGATTCCCATGCTTGAGGAAGCCAAACCCCTGCCCATTTGGCAGACTGAAAGTCAAGGTCCAGAGAAGGCCAGCCAGGGACCAGTAATCAGATTTATTTTAGGTCTAAGGAATCCTTGGCTCAATTTGTCTCAGTGAAACGGCCACAGGTACCTGTGGGAAGATAGTTCTGAAGGCTTTCCAAGGCTGCAGTGGTCGCTCCTGTGTCTCCAAACCCTCAATGGCACCTACTTCAGAATCAAGTGGCTGGACATCAAGATTTGTCAGCTAGCCTAATGGCCTCGCCAGCCTTCCTCCTGTTCTCCCCCCCACCCCACTCCACCTTGGCTCAAACTTCTGGACTTCCCACCAGCAACCAACATGCCTGGACTCTTCCTCCCAGCCTTTGTTTGGTCCTTTCCCACCAACAGAATCTAGGTTTCATGGTTGTTGTTTTTCTTCTTTCTTCTTCGTATTGATTTTCTAATGTGCTGCCCTACCACATATAAAGAGCTGCAGAAGTTGGGCTGACTCTGACATCCAAACCTGCCATGGGTCTTCCCAGACCTACCTGCTGTATCAGGGGTGCACAGATATGTATTATAAAGAAAGCTGTTTGCATAACTTTATTCTGCTATAGTATTTTAAATCCTGAGCTGGGTCTAAATGCAGTGAAAGAACACCTGATCCTCTGAGAATAAAAGTCCAAGTCTAGAGGACAGCCAGGGCCCACTGCTCTAAGGCCATGGGACAGCAGTCCCTACACATGGGCCAGGGCCTCAGCATGTGAACCCTCTCCCCAGGGGCTCTTACGGAGGACAATGGTACCCCAAGGGCCTGTCATTGTGTATGGTGCATAGGCATTCACTAACCTGGCAGGCTGGACCCCCACAAACATGAGGACCTTAAGGGCGATTCTCCGGTGCAGGTTCCACTCCTCGATGGCGCTGGCCATGATCAGACCACTGAGGAAGAGGAAGTTGGTGTCGAGGAAGTACTGGGAGCAGACCTTGTTGGAGGGTAGGATGCCCAGGAAGGGGAACAGGATGATGGGGAGTAGCGCGGTCACGGCCAGTGGCAGGGCCTCTGTGCACCAGTACACTGCCATGAGCAGAACCACGAACAGACAGCGGCCCTCCTGCAGGGGAGCATGCAGAGAAGCAGTGGGTGTGGAAGTGTCCCAGGCCTTGACCTTGTATGGGTGCTGTGACCTTTCTGGGTCTTATTTTGCTCAGCTATAAGATGAACAAGCTATTTCTGGCCCCTTCTGAAGACTGTTGCAGAATTAAATAAAATACTCCCATTGGCTTACATGTGTCCCCTGCCACACAGATGAGAATATAAAGAATATACTTGATCAGGGATCCCAGAAACTTCTGGAAGGGCAGTGAGGAGGTGAGGGAGAACAAAGTCAACACAAAATGTGCTTAGGCCATCCCTGGCTCATTGGCTTCCACTACTCCGGGAGACAACATGGCTCCCAGAGAGACAAGTGCTAAGCAGAGTGTGGGCCAGGAAACTGAGTGCGTAGTTGGAAAGGCAGATATGTCAGCATCTCCTTGTTGTGGACTGAATGTGTTTCCCTTTCCTCCATTCATGTATTTAGACCTAGTCACTGTGGCAGTAACAAGAGGTGGGACTTCAGGCTAAGAGGGTTTGGTTATCATCAATGAGATCAGTGCCCTTATCAAAGAGACCCAGGGCTTCCCTTCTGCCAAGTGAGGTGCAGCAGCAGCAGGGTACCCTTGAGTCAGAGCCAGCCCTCACTAGGCACTAACTCCCCCAGTGCCTCCATTTTGGATATCTGTCGAGCAATGGAGTTTTGGAGGTTCGTGGCCTGCTGTTTGACAATTACCCATTCTGTGGCATTTTGGTATCGCAGCTCTCATGGACTGAGACAGTCCAGCTCCCTTTGTCCCCCACTATCTGGTTCACACCTGGGATTTCTTTGGCTTCGTCTGGCATTAGACACAAGCTTGACCAAGGAAACACTCCAGGGAACTCACACTCTGAGAACCAGTTCCCAACCATGAGGTTTGTCTGTTTTTCTACTAGGAGAACTGAGGCCTGTTGAATGCCATTTTCCCAAGGTCCCTACACGTGTAAGATTCTGTTAACACTCATCTCATTCACACACCTGTATCACAGTTGCTCACTCTCCCTGCCCCCCTGGCCCCCAGACCTCCCCTGAAGTCCTTCAGGAGAACCTATCAAAGACAGAAGCTCCTCAGAGATGCCAGCATCTCTCCAAGCTGACACTGGAGAAGTGTTTGGCACCAGGCATGAGATGCCTATGCCAGAAGGTTCTTTTGTATGGGAGTCGTGTCTTCCAGCTGAATCTGGGCTTATCTGGGCCAAACACAGAGAACAAGGGTGAGCTTGGTTTACAGGACACCCACCAGATGGAAATGTGTGTTTCTGGAAGAGACATACTAAGAGTGGTTCTGGAATGAAAGGTGTAGTGACACCATACCCAGAAGAGTGTGTGCATGCTCCACACGGTTCTGTGTACTGACGGGAGAGATCTGCAAGGAGCTGAGCAGAGGCCTTCTGAAAGTTCTGTATCAGACAGCTACGTAACCTCCACAGATTTGGGTATTCAACATGACATGCTTACTCTCTGTTTCCCTGACTTCCATACAAATCCCTTGAGGACAGGGTCCTTGATTCGTGTATCTCATTCTCTTTGTATCCTTTGGGCCTAGCACAGTGGCTGGTATTGTAAAGACTTGGTATCAGCCAGTAGAGAATGGATGAATGAATTGATGGGTGAATAGATGGATGGATGGATGGGTGTATGAAGGAAGGATATATTATGACCCTTAGCTTTTCCTCAGCTGCCAGCTTCAGCTTCTGGATATAAAGAGAGTAGATGTCATCTACCCTCAGGAGCTCATTTTTTGGGTAGGGCAGGGCTGCAGACACACCTGCCCACAAGAGCAGGCATATGCAGTAGCTGATGTGGCTCTAGGTCGCTCAGGATTAAGTAATTTAGTTTAGAGGCCAAAGGGAGACAACTGCAATGAGAAGGCTGGGGAGAACCTACTTGAACCACACCTCAGAGAATGAAAGCTTGTGCAGACTCCTAAGTCAGGCTCTGTAGTATCCTGCAGAACGAAGTTGGGGGCAGTAGAGGAACTTTGCAAACATTATCCCTTAACTGGACAGGAATTGGGGTGTGGAAGACACACAGAGTGGCTGAGACACTCATGAATAACAACCAAATTAAAATTTTTAGGAGATAATATACTTCCCACTAGCAACATTCTAAGGCCAGATCTTAAGTAGAGAGCCAAGTAAGATAATGCCTGTAACCCCAGCACTTGAGAAGCTGGGTAGGGGGACTGAGAGTTGCAGGCTAACTTGGTGACATAGCAGGATCTATCTCAAGAAAATAAAGAACGAAGAAAGGGCCTGACTACAACTTGCGGCCTCAAAGGGAAAATCAAGAGAGCCTAAACAGCTTTATACTTATAATCAACAACTTTAGAGGAAGCAGAGTACCTTCTTGAAAAAAATATAAAATACTCAGGTATCAGGAAAAGATACAGCTGTATGTTTCAGAGTCTATTAAAGAAAGATAGTCAATCATTCAAAATCTGTCCACAAAGAAAGGATGAAGAAATGAATGATGCCATCTTCCCAGAGGATGGAGGAGGAAGAGGTGACACCATAAGAGAATACCAGTTTCTCCCCACTGCCCATCTCCAACTTCTGGCCCAGGTAGAAAAGTGGAGGATCTTGGTCTCATTTCTGAACTGAGACCTCATTAAGGTATAGAAGCAACTGCAGATTTTTTTTCAAGTGTCTGGGGAAGCCACAGGTATACAGGGGGACTGAGAATAGGAAAAGAACTCCCCCCACTGGAAACATTTCATGGCAAAAGCTGGGGAGAAAAATGAACAGCTCTGTTTATAAAATTAGCCTTGCTGAGCTACAATTTACTAGTGATACAATAGCTCCATTGTAACAGCCCAGTTCAAGGAGTTTGGACAGACTCACTGCCTCTAACCCAACCTAGACAGATGGATGGACATTCCCCTCATCTCAAGTATCTCCTATCTCCTTCAGTCCAGTCCCACTCCCTACAAGGCATCCCCTACACACACACACACACACACACACACACACACACACACACACACGCACTGTGACTTCAATCACTGTCTTTGGACTCTGCGTCAATGGAACACACAGGACAGACTTTCATGCCGGTGGTTTTCCTCAGGGGTTTGTGGCATGCATTCCCTTCTCTTTTATTGCTGAGTATGTCCCAGTCTGTGGATATGTAATTAGACACTGATATGATTATAGTTTGGAACTATGATGGGTGGAAGGGCCACAGCTCAGGTGGGCTGTGTGGTATGCTAGGGTAGTGGCAGGAATGGAATGTGGACCCTTGGCCCACACCAGGCTTTGGCAGCTAGTGGGTTAAGAGTGCTTTATTACCTTGCTGGTCAGGGGTTGGATCAGCGCCGGGTGACCCCAAATAGCCCCTGCCCCAGCCGAGCTTCCTGTGGGCAAATGGATTCAGATTTGCCAGCTGGATGCCAGACATCTGGGGGGGGGGGCGGAATTAATGAGCATGGTGGCCCCTCACCTGCTCCCTGTCCTGCTGGGCCTGGAAGATGGGGCTGGGTTCCAGAGAACAGAGGTTCTCCTGGGGCAGAGGGCGTAAGGGGGGTGGCAGAGCTGAGTGCTGGGTCCACAGTGCTGTGCCAGGTGTCCACTTGCTGAACGAGTAAGAGATTCAGATCAGGCACTGTATTCAGGTTCCATCACTGCTGTGAAGGAAGTCCACCAACTCTCCCATGTCTGCCTTAACCTTCCCCAGTGCTGGGGTGCACAGAGGCATTCTCTCACACACAGAAATGCCTAAACTTCACCATCATTTACAGTGGCACTGGGCATTAGTGTCCTGGGTCCAGCAGGGAGGGCTGGAGAAGCAGCAAAGTGAGGGCACCTCTCCCTCAGGGCCGCTGAGCGTATGAGCCTCACTCTGCCAGATCTCATCATTTAATGATTGTCTCATGAAAAGGACAAGTAAAAACAACCACATTTGCAAGTGGCATCCATCCCATAGTCACTAGCTGTGACCTCTCTGTGACATATTTTTAGTTGACAGGTGATGGTTATCTTTGGCAATTAAGGCCTGCTTTCTGTTCCTGCATGTTGACAGAGTACAAGGGGTCACAGCACCCTGGGTTAAAAGGCTTTGCTCCATTAAAAAGTTCCCAGTTTGTAGGTGTTAAGACTGAGGTCTGGATAGGCGGAGAGATACCTTCAGGACCATGGAGAGCGCAGGGGAGGCCCCAGCTCCAGGTCCAGGTCCTGGCAAGATGGGGGGGGAACAGGGAGGATGGAGGGTGGGGGGCACAGAGGAATCTACGTTTTTACTCCACCCCACAGCAGATCCCTGCCACCTCTGCCCCCGGGCCTCTTGCTTGGTGACCTCTCATGAGGTGCAGGCTTCGAGTTTCCAGAACCAGGGTAAGGTACGTGGTTGTCACGTGATTTCCAGCACTGTTCCTTTGAATTTTAACTTCTGGAGTTCAGAGGTTGAAGGAGGCATCTGACTTTACAGATGGGCTTCCTGGGTCCCTCAGGGTAAGCAGTTTGCCTCTGGCCTTTGTTCTGTCCCCGGGGCTCTGCTCTGTCTCACAGAGGGGCCCAGGGATCCAGGAGAATCTTTCCCCATTTTCCTAGAAGATTCCCTCTGTCAACTAAAGTCAGATGATTCAGCCCAATCCTCCAGAGATGCAATAGCCCGAGACTAGGCTCAAAGAGAGCTCGGCCTAAGAAACCAGATACTACATGCAAGAATTCTGCCTCGGATGACCACAGTGACCCAGGAGGCGCTTGGTGTGGATGGGTAGTGGATAGCAGTCGGTTGCCTTAGAAGGAAAAGAATGGCCAGGCACAGGTGGCTCACGCCTGTAATCCTAACTACTCAGGAGGCTGAGATTTGAGGATCACAGTTCAATGCCAGCCTGGGCAGGAAACTCCATGAGACTCTTATCTCCAATAAACCACTAGAAAAGAAGAAGTGGAGCTGTGGTTCAAGCGGTAGAGTGCCCTCTTTGAGCTGAAGAGCGCAGGGAAAGTGCCCAGGCCCAGAGTTCAAGCCCTATGACCGAC